TGGAAGCCATTTGTTTACATTAAGTCTGAATGTGTCCCTCATCCTTCTTAGGATGTGAACAGGGACAAGCAAAAAATATAATCCTCATTCTCACAGTCAGTCTGCCTCTTCAACCTTGATAGCTCTAATTGTACCTAATGAAAGAAAGGTAACATTTTTTGGCCTTCGTTGCAAGAAGCATTTTAAATAGAACTAGCCTGGAGCATTTTTCAAAATAAAATCTAAATAATGCAAGATTGTTAGCAGGACTGGTGCCAGAGCTGGATTACAGGACTAATAAAAATCAACCTGAGTCTCCAGATGTCAAGCAGCCTTGATCATACCTTTGCTAGGTCAGCCATAGTGACAGCAGTACTCAAACTAGGTTTCATCTTTGAGTTCCAAAGACGTTGGTTATCATGAACAACTTCATATTAGGGCTTGTCAGCCTCTATCTACATACAAGGGAGCAGAGCAACAGTACATACATACAGGGTTCTGGGCTAAGATTGGTTAGGGAGGACTGAAGCATTTCCTTCTGCAAGTCATTAGCTACCCTCAGGGTGTTTCCTTCCCTTATTTTCATCCTGTGTGAAGTATGCGGGCTGCTAGCATAGCCTATGTCATTCGTCTTTTGGAGGGGCTGGGGAAAAGTATAGAGTATGTCTTTCATTTCTGAAAATTTGTCTGGAGTTCTGGGATTAACCATAGAAAGTGTTGGTGTAAGAGGTGCCCAGAAGTTTAGTGGAACTTTACTACCATTTGACCTCCAAAGATCTGACAATTGCCTAGTATTTTATACTCCCTCGAAGTTCTTTCCTGCATTGTTTGTGTATTTTTGGGTTCTTTCAGACTTGCATGGCTCTCTAGAAGTAGACCTCTTGTCCAAATGATCTCAGACCCTTTCCTGTTAACTAGGAGTCCTGGCACAGCAGTTATCTCATCTTATTTGCTGTCGCGCATTGTTTTTAAATTGTTTTTAAATACGTCAGTGATTGTTCACGGTCTTTATATCACATATAAATTATGATTATTACTTATTAACAACATACTTTCCTTCCTGGCTTGGCTTTGAATAACAATCCTCAGATCACAGCATCCTGAATAGCTAGGATTGCAAGCTTGAGCCACTGGCTCCTGGCTATGAAGAAAAGGCAGGGTTGCACCATATGAAACTGATGCCATGAAAAGCAGATACATGCCTTTTGAACATATACTTTTTAATGCCCCTCAATGAATCAGTCACTCACCATCTATTCATTTAGATCCCAGGGACAGACTGATGAACAAAAGCAATAAACAATTTTACTTCTTTTACACTTAGTAAATAAGAAGATAAGGGAGACTAGTAAGAGTAAGACCTATAGTCTGAATAGACTTAGTTTGAAGAACAAAGAAAATACCATTGTGGTTGTGCTTTGAGTGGAGAAAGATGTTATGATAAGCCAAATCATGTATATAGCCTTGTAGGGAATAAGGTCAACTTGGAGACATTGAGCATGGAAGAGTTGTAACCATAATTAAGAAATAAATTCTTGGAGGGTAAAAACAAGGGAGGGGGTAACACTGTTCAAAAAGAAATATACTCCTTACTCACTTACATAACTGTAACTTCTCTATACATCACCTTTACAATTAAATTAAATTAAATTAAAAATGTTCTCTTCTTTCCTGAGACTTAAAATGGTAGGTAATAGGGTTTGAACTCTAGGACTTATGCCACCTAGACATGCTCTACCACTTGAGCCATGTGACCAGCACTTTTTGCCTTAGTTATATTTTAGATAAAGTCTCATATTCTTCTTTGCGCTGACCTAGATTAACAATTCTCCTATTCATACCACCTATGTAGCTTGGGTAACAAAAATGTGTCCCTATACCTAGCTTATTGTTTACTTGGGGATGTTGCTAACATTTTGACCAAGAAGGTTACAAAATATGATCCTCCTGATTCTCTCTGTACCTTCTGAGTACTTGGGATTATATACACCTGGTCGCCCCAGATATTATTTTTTTTATAGAGCTTTTAGTTTCATGGCATTTAAAGAAGTTGTCCAGCATATCACTAGGGTCAACATTTTCTTCTGTTTGATCCCCATTGGGCATAGCTTATGCCATTTTGTCCCATTGTAGAAAGAGAAGAAAGCAATCTCTTATGATCTACATAGTCTAATGGAGTTGCTTCTGACATCAAAATTGGAATGTTTTAATACCATTTTTTTAGAGGACACAAGCTAGACAGAGTCAGGGGTGCTTTTTAATAATTAACTTTACTGGAAACTTAATAGGAGTCATTTTGATTATTTTAGCTTGTAAAATTAATGCACACAGCTATTGGCACTTGTATTTTGTGTAATGTCAGGAAATTTCAATGAGTATTCAATATTATGTATAGCACCAATCACATGGGGCCATCTTAAAATTAATGGTTGCCATGCTACTTTCATCTGTTTTAAGATTATTATCACTTCATGGTAGGTGTACTTGATTTTGTATCGCTATTCTTGGCACTTTCTGTTTTTGGCAGCAGGTATCTTTTAATATTAATACAGATATAGTCTCAGCAAAATTTATGGTTGACCTTCTCAGTATTATCTTTTCCCTGTATATATTAATTTTCTTTCATGTGGTTGACATCTTCTGGTACAAGTAAAGTCATAGAGTATTCATAAAGTAAGGCAGAATGCTTTATTTGTGGTTAATCAAACTAATTAAAACTTTTAAAGATTGAACTCGTGTTACTGAGAAGGCAGATACATGGTACCTGTAACTAAGATATAAGAAGGAAGAATTTTTGTTCTATAAATGATTTCAAATAATAAGTTTCCCAATTAAAACCCAGTTTAAAAATGATCTGATGATAAAATATAATCTTAAACCGGGCACTGGTGGCTCACGCCTGCAATCCTAGCTACTCAGGAAGCTGAGATCTGAGGATCCCGGTTCAAAGCTAGCCCGGGAAGGAGAGACCGTGAGACTCCTATCTCCAATAAACCACCAGAAAACCGGAAGTGGCGTTGTAGCTCAAGTGGTAGAGTGCTCGCCTTGAGCTGAAGAGCTTAAGGACAGCGCCCAGGCCCAGAGTTCAAGCCCCACGACCGAAAAAAAATATATAACCTTAAAATTCCATTATGGAGATTATTTTGATGGCTGAAATTATTTCTGACTGGCCATAATAGGATTTGTTAGTAGTGAGTGCCTGCTTGAAATTCTTAGTAAACATCTTTTTTCATGTTTGGTCATTTTAATGAGATCATATTTGATTAAGATTAAGATTGCAGAATTTACTATAAAATATTTTAAATGTATTATATGCCACTGTCATCTATGTAGCAGTTTTTGCCTTCCCTTGAAGTAATCCACAGATTATAAAAGTAGTTTCAAAATTTTTTCAATACTGAAATATCATGTATTGCTAATTTGTCCAGATTTTTCTTTTTTCTTTAACATTTTTATATTAATTTTTAAATGTTTTTTGTAGTTGATATATAGAGGGATTACAGTTCCATGAATCAGGTACAATCTGTACAATTGTTTTTGAACTATTCTCCCTTTCCATTGCTCTCTCCAAATTTCTCCCTCCCATAACCATCTGTATGATATCCAGTTCATTTCTCCATAGTGTCTGGTGAGTATCACTGTTGAATTTGTTCATCCTTGTTCCACCCTTTATGTGCCCTCCCTTACTCTCCCAAATACAAAGTAACAAGCAATACAAAAGTAAAAGAGAACAAAAACATAAAAATGGCAACAAAAGAGTGTCTTATTTCCTTTTTTAAAGTTCATTTCGTAGAATTTTATTTTATATGATCATCTGCCCATAGATACTGAACTTTTGTCCACTACTCTTATGCTTAGCCTTCTTTGGCCTCTGCATGTTATTGATTAGGGTCCTATATAATTTATCAAGGCCATTATTAGGAAAATTAACAATAACAAATAATGATAGGGATGTGGCCAAAAGGGAACTCTTACACTGTTGGTGGAACTGTAAAGTTGTTCAGCCACTCTGGAAAGTAGTATGGAGGTTCCTCAAAAGACTCCACATAGAGCTCCTCTATGACCCAGCAATACTACTCTTGGGCATTTATCTAATGGACCACAAACCAGTCCAAATTAAAGCCAACAGCACAACCATTTTACTGCAGCATTGTTTACCATAGCCAAGATATGGAATCCACCTAGATGTCCCTCGGTGGATGAATGGATCAAGAAATGGTGTGTGTGTGTGTGTGTGTGTGTGTGTGTGTGTGTGTGTGTAAAATGGAATTCTATTCATCCATCAGAAAGAATGGCATTGTATCATTTGTAAAGTAATGGAAAAACTTGGAAAATAGTATATTAGGCGAAGTTAGCCAGAACTAAAGAAACATAGGCTACATTGTTTCCCTCATTTATGGTAAATAGAATGTGCCTATAAATGTACAAGTAAACACTCTAATGACAAAGACACATAAATAAAAATTAGTAAGCATCTTACAAACTTATGGAATACTAAGGTGAACCCCTTTTGTACAGGCAATATCACTAAAAAAAACAAACCTATATAAACTAACAAGTATAATCTCTATTAATCTCGTTTTCTGCATGTATCTTATGAAAGGAAATCTAGGCTTCAAAATCATTTATAAAATCCACAACTTCTGGAATAATTGTTAAAGAACTATGGATAGCAGAGATGACTACAGTCCCAGTTATAAGATTTTTTTCACAGATTTTTCTTTCAAATTTTCAATATAGCAATATTTGTTACTGGGAAAGAAGTCTGTGTTACAGTCTATTAGATGAGTACATCTCTTCTGTTTAGCTCTGAAGCTACCTCACAGCCATTGCTGCCCATATTACTATTGTGTTTAATATCATTTTGTTGGTTGAAGTAGAAAATTGTTATGTGTTGTTTATAGGTTGTTTCTGATTTTTAGACAAAGTACTATATAGAAAAGTCAATAATCCTGAAATATATAGAACACTAAGTTGTAAACACCCAATAAAGCCATTTTCTTATTTCTCTATTCCCACAGAAACTCAACTTATTGCATGAAGGTGTCAATGTCCTTGACTGTTGCAGAAAATGAATCAGGCCTGTGCTACAATAGCAGGATCCGCTATTTAGAAAAATCCGAAGTCACTAAAAGAAAGGAGATCTCCTGCCCAGACATGGATGACTTCAAAAAGTCTGATCAGGAACCCGATGTTGTGTGGTACAAGGTAACTCAAGATTGTGTCCAATGAATTTTTGCATCAGTCAATAGCAGGTTTTGGGATAGAGAAAGGGAATGATTTCCCTAACTGGTTTTTGGTTTTAAGTATTTCACTGAGAATCAACAGATGCAAATGAAACCATTTAGAAATATGATCTGGATTTACCATTGATTTTCATGTATTTCTTTCAGTAGATGTCCAAGCAATTTCATCACTCTCCAGTTGCTAAAATTAAGTCTCCTTCCACCCCAACAAATGAGATGAAGGACAAAGATTTAAATAACACATAAATAATTTTAGACATGTGGAAACATTATTTACTGTTAGAAGCAGAAGCCTGTCATTACTACTAGTAGCACTAAGAATAAAGTCTGTTACCACCAGCTACACTTCAGAGAAGGCAGAGGAGAGAGATTAGGTTGGCACAATATGTGTGAACAAGGTAATATTTCGCTGGAAATATAAACCACATTCAGTGATTTAGTGGAAGATCACTGAATGAAGGGTTTACTTACAGAGAGGTGTACATGGCTGAGGGAACCAACAAAGGAGAAAACTGTTGTTATACTAAGGGCTGTTATGACAAGAGGAAGGAGCAATGGTACTGGAGCCTGGCAAGACTGGATAGGGCCTTTCAAGAACTATAACCTTAGGGTACATATGAGGGAGTGGACTGGAGAAATACCCTAACTCTGCTTAACTGCTGCCTTCCATTTCTTGCCAATCTTTTCCTTATGACTTGAAACTGAACCAAAACTAAAGAGCCTCTGCAATAGGCAGAGTTGAAACTTTTCAGTTTCAGCTAGGGCGCTAGTGGCTCATGCCTGTAGTTTCAGCAGCTCAGGAGGCTGAGATATGAGGATCAGGATTTGAAGCCAGCCGGGGCGGAAAAGCCCCCCTAAAACTCTATCTCGAATGAACCACCAGAAAACTGGAAGTGCACCTGAGGCTCAAAGTGGTAGACTGCTAGCCTTGACAGGGACAGCGCCCAAGCCCTGAGTTCAAGCCACACCACCAAAGCAAAACAAAGCAAAACAACATCTTTTCAGTTTTCCTGGACCTAGACTAGAGCAGACAAAATCAGATAATGGCTCTTTAGGGGAAGCAGAGAGTAAGTATAGAACTGTCCAGTTATGCTTTTGTGGCTGCTATCCTGGAGCCCCATGATTCTATAGCAGGACTGAGCCACAGAAGTTGACACATTATGCAGATCTATATAGCAGAGACACAGGTGTCCAAGTCTTTTGTATAGGTGCCCTGTACAGTGTTGTGCTCAAATATATGTAAGGGATGGAGTTGATTGTCTAGAATTCTAAAGACCCTCACCCCCCCCCCCCAGGAAAGCATTAAGTCATACTTTCCACAACTGGAAGGTGAGATCACATTTGGAAAGCTTGCTCACCCCTGGGGAAATGTACAATAAATACCAAATGTAAGTTCAGAACGATGCCATCTTCCCATTTTTTTCTGAACAGATATAATCTTATGACAGAAAGGAAAAATGATGTTTACTATATGTAAACATATACTGTAGGTAATTTAATAGGTCTCATCATGCCATCACGAGCCTCCTTCCTATTATGCTCAGTACTTGTCAAACGCCATTCACCATACTAAGATTGGTCTGTATATTTTTTGCAGATTTATTTATTTATTTATTTGGACCATATGGTTTTACTCTATGGTCTCTATATTATCTCATTTAAATTGCAGTGCAATTTTATATGATGTGTGCACTTATGGTTATTTAATAGAAGACAAATGGGGGCATAGAAAATTATAATTTGTGTTAAATTACATAGTAACAAGCCTAAATAATGTTCAGTGCAATATGATTCCAGAGTATCTTTTGGTGTTACTAGAGTTTAAATTTAGGGCTTATTAGTACACTAATAAGCAGGTCCTCTACCAGGAGAGCTAAGATTGCAGTTGTTGTCACTGTGCTCAGTTCAGAGTCCATTTTCTTAATTACTACCCTTTTCTGCAATGAATCCTTTTTGGTCATGGATGATTCTATAAGATGTAAGAGTAGTGCAGAAGAGCCTTTGAAATGTGATAGTAGGAAGGATTTATTTCAATTTTATAGGTGAGGAAAGGATGTTGACCTTCCCATAAGTTAGAAGGTAAAGGCAAACCTCAGGTTATCACACTCCTTGTATAGTAATTCATTTTGCTCTCTCACATTTTCTGTCTGCTAAATTCTGCTTTATCCCTTTTCTTTATATCTCTAAGCATGCCTACCAGCATTGCCTACCAAAGCAATTTACTCTGTGTACAAATGAACCAATAAGTGTAAAACAAAACGTTTCTGCAGCTCTGCTGAAATATTAAATTTTATTTATATTTATAATTCAATTTGCCTTTATCTGATACATGGAAACATAAATTTGTGCATAGTATGGGAGGTAACATGTAGTGTTTTGATACATGTATACATACTGACATTTAAAAATCAATTTAAATGCACTTGTCTCCTCAAATATTTGGCATTTATAGTAAGAGAAGTCAAAGGCTTCTTTTCTTGTTACTTGAAATATATAATGAAGAGTTAATTATAGTTGCTCTACTTTGTAATAATAGCTCATCAGAACTTCTTGTTGACATCAAACTGGAAGTTAATACTTATTTCCCTCCAGGTCCCTCCCCCCACTTCCAGACTCTGATAACTATGTCTGCTCTCAAGTTTTATGTGATTTCCACAAATGAATTGGATCATATAGTAATTATCTTTCTGTGCCTGGCTTATTTCATTTAACATCATATTCTTTAGATCTTTCCAAGTAGTCACAAATGACAAGATTTCATTTTCTAAAGTAGAATAGTATTCCCACTCTGTTTACATACCACATATTCTTTATTATTTCATCAGCTGATGCATACTTCATTGTTTTATATTTCTTAGCTATTGTGAACAGTGTTCCATGAAATGAGGACTGTTTTCAACATATTAATTTCTTATAGTCAGTAGTGTGACTGTTGGATTATTGCTTTATTTTTAACTTTTTCAGAAACTTGACAACTGTTTCTCTAATATCTGTACTAATTGACATCCTCACCAACAGTATATAAGGGATTCGTATACTCCACATTCTTACCAGCATTTATCTATGGTATTTTGACAATGGCTATTTTTATTGAAGGGAAGTCATATTTCAGTTTCCATTTATATTTCCTGATTATTAGTAATGCTGAATTTTTCCAAATACATCATTGCCATTTGTATGTCATTTTGAAAATGTCTGCTTAGATCTATTCCCCTTTTATTCAGATTATTTGTTTTTTTGATATTGATGAGTTTCTTTATATACAGGCTGAAAACCATTTTTCATATGCCTAGTTTGAAATCTTGTTTGCTTGGTAGAAGTGTATATTATTCTACCTGTCTATGCTTCCTATGGTTTTGTGGCTTTATCCAAAATCTGCCTATTTCAATGTTCCAAAATAATCCCAATCTTTTTTTGTACAACTTTCAGAGTTTATCCTCTTAACTTTAAGTGTTCAACCTATTTGAATTGATGTATATAACTGGAGAGATGGAGTTTAGCTTAATTCTTCCACATGGATATCCAATTTCCCAGAAAAATTCTCTGAAAACATTGTTCTTTCTTGAGTACATGTCATTAGCACCTTTGTTGAACATCAATTGGCTATACATTAATTAGTGTAATTCTGGGTTCTCTTTTCTTTTCCCTCCCTTCCTCCTTTCCTCCCTCCCTCCCTCCCTCCCTCCCTCCCTCCCTCCCTTATTTCCTTCCTTCCTTCCTTCCTTCCTTCCTTCCTTCCTTCCTTCCTTCCTTCCTTCTTTCTTTCTTT